TAAGTGCTTGCGGGCTCGATTAATGCTGCTCTGTTGAAAACGCAGGTTCGTTTTTCACGACTAGCAGATCTTGATTTTTATCAAACTCTTCGACTTTGGAAATTAGCTTTCAAAACTGAGACAGGCTTGAAAATAAAACTTACGAAGAATGGCAATGTATTATGGAAAGAACCGGTCAATCAGAGAACGCAAATAAATAGTTAATACATTAATAGGCCATTCTGCAGTTGTTTGCTTAGTTACCTGGCCATGAATGCAAGCGAGGCTGGAAGTGGCCTTACTTTGATACAGACCTCTCTGCTTTTCTCATTTAAATGCCAGCTAGTTAGCATAAGAACAACTTGATTTACTCGACAAAAGCAGTGAGGACTGTATCAAAACAAGGTCACCTCCAGCCTTGCTGCCATTCAAAGGCCAGACCACTAAGCAGACAACTGTAAAATGGTCTATTAATAAATACATAGATGAAAAAATAAATAAATAAATAAATAAATAAATAAATATATAAATATAATAAACAACACTGGCCTCTATTCACATGACATCTGTTATTTACTGACCCGGCAATAATTAAATGATTAGTAATAGTAATTGGACCGAGTGGAGTACAATTCAGGGAGTAATTGCACGAGTAATTTCAAAATCGGATGAACGCGAAGCGCGGGGGCGATTTAAAATTATGAGTACGATTACTTCTTGAATTGTAAATCACTCATATTAAATGATAAAATGATCAATAATACCTAATTGAAAGTAAAGCGTTTACGGCAGTTTTGAAGAAAATTAACAAGTTATGATCAAGACACTACAGAATGGCTTTTAATTGTTATTGAGTGTCGTAAACCAGACCAAAAGTAATCACTCTGGCCAATCGCAAAAGAGTGAGACAGTACAGAAAACCAATCTCTACTCCCAGTAATTATATGTAGCTGGCGCGAAGCGCGAGAAAACGTGTGCGAGTGGTCACGATTGGTTTTGGTTTTACTTCTGATTGGGCGGCTAAAAGTGGCGCGAGTTTTTTCAGCCAATCGTGTAGTGTGCTTGATGCGAAATCAATTACTTTTCGACATTAAAGTGAAAACCGCTCAATCTACCTTTATGCATTACGTTTATTATAACCTGAAAAACATTTTGTACAGGCAAAGTAGCAAATGGAATATTTTAAATTAAATTCGATTGTTTTCAGCCAAAAAGGAAAAACGTACGACAATTCATCTCTGGAGGTTACGTTTGCTTTAAAGTACTTTGACCATTTCACTGCTGCCTTAATTTGGTGCTTCAAAAGAAAAAAAAATCATCACCATTCTGGAAGCACGAACTTAAACAGACTTTGAAAGCTTTATGTCGTGGTTAAAGGGGCTAGGTCACGCTATTTTAGGTAATTTTGTTTAATTTTGTCAATGATGAGTTCTAAATGTTAAATTAGCAGAGCTGGAGTCTTTCATTTGCAAAATCACGGCCACATAACAGATGAGAATGATTTTCCAGCTGTGGAAATGCATTTTGATTTTAAACTGAGATAAGCTTGCAAAAAAGTCGGGCCAACGGTTTTCAAATTTAGCCAAATGCAATCCATTTCAACCCTCTCCAGTTTTGTCCATCCATGTCCCTTCTTGGCTTTCCTATGTTTTGTTTGAGTTCTTCTATAGTTTTGAGCCGTTATTGTGACGTTTTAGCTAATTCTATGACCGTTTGATCAGTGCTGAAACTGCCTATAATTGTGTGACCTAGCCCTTTTAACCTAACCAACATTATTATAAACAAGGACGCAAAAGCTAATGGCAAGGTTTACACAAGCGTCATTTTGATCTCATATGATCATCGTAATGATGGATGAGACATGTCTCATTACTAAATTCTTCCTGACAGATCCAACAGGTGAGGCTTTCAACTTGGCTTAAATTTTCTGCAGTCGAAGAAAACAACTTACCATACTTTTTGCTACCTTGAGTAGTCGTTGGCTCCTCCAGATGTCTTCTAAGTTTTCGGTTCTGGCCACGCTGGTTGCGTTTTAACGAACTGTCTACATGTATTGCGTGTTTTTCTTCATGCTGCTTGCAATTTGATGATTGGCTAAAGCACTTACTACAATGCCTGCATGAATACGGCTTCTCTCCTGTGTGAGTTCGCTCATGTCGCTTGAAATTTGAAAGCGTGCTAAAGCACTTTTTACAAAGTTTGCATGAATAAGGCTTCTCTCCTGTGTGAATTCGCTCATGTACCATGCACTGTGATGATCGGCTAAAGCACTTACCACAATGCTTGCATGTATACGGCTTCTCTCCCATGTGAATTCGTTCATGTTGCTTACAATCTGATAACTGGCTAAAGCACTTTTTACAATGCTTGCATGAATACGGCTTCTCTCCTGTGTGAATTCGTTCATGTCTATTGCAATTTGATTGCTGACTAAAGCCCCTTTTACAATACTTGCATGAATACGGCTTCTCTCCTGTGTGAGTTCGTTCATGTTGCTTGCAATTTGACAGCGTGCTAAAGCACTTTTTACAATGCTTACATGAATATGGCTTCTCTCCTGTGTGAGTTCGTTCATGTCTCTTGGAATCTGCTAATCGGCTAAAGCACTTTTTACAATGCTTGCATGAATACGGCTTCTCTCCTGTGTGAGTTCGTTCATGTTGCTTGCAATCTGGTGACCGGCTATAACACTTTTTACAATGCTTGCATGAACACGGCTTGATCCCTGAGTGAGTTCGTCCATGTTCCTTATAAGCTGATATTTGAGCAAACACCTGGCCGCAATACTTGCATTCGTTTGCTTTCGCTCGTATCGTCGTCGCCATATTTATCAAACCAGATTTTTGTTCGTCTAAATTTTAGGCCGCTTTACGTCAAATTTCTTTGTAAGCTAACCTGGATATTGAACTTGATTCCCTTTCAGGGTATTTTTTCGACTGTGTTGTCACTATAGATGTTTCCCCATATATTCCTACCGAAATGAAAAAGAAAATATCACATAAGGTTTTGTCACTTAACGGGCAGTCCATTGCAAACCCGACTTAATTCGTCCGATTTACATGTTTTCATTGGTGTTCCAAGGCATCTTAGGTAGGTTCAGAGCCACCCTAAATTTTCGAAAATTTAAGGTGGCTCTGAACTCACCCAGTTTTTTGATGCCATGAATTTGGCATCAGCCAATATCGAGTAGTTGTAATGACCCATCAAAATATACATCTTGGAAAATGCTGAAAACTGTTTTGATCTACCTTAACCATTCTGTCTCATGAGATTCTGGTGATAAAAATGATGAAAGGGAGTTAATCATGGCTGCTCTGACACTACAAAGTCATGTCACTGAAGATGAATTTTGACAAAATCAACACATCATAATGACAATATTCATTTTCACAGCACATTAGTTCTACAATTTGACCAGTTATTTGAATAGCTTTCATGACACTGTATTCTGTAGATAACCCTTAACCAGCCAATGCACTGTTGTTTTCATCAAAATACACTACTAAAATCAGCCACAAGTGTTTTTCTTTTTTTTGTTGCTTAAAACTATTAAACACTAACTGGGTAGTGGTACTTATTAAACATACTAGTTTCCAAATAAAAAAATCATTTTGTCTGTAATAAAGCAGGCAATACAGTGAAGAGAGCCGGAAAGTAATGTTGGGTAAAACACAATCCCCAGAGGAACATTTCTCCCAGCTTCACTGGCAGTTTCTTTAATACCTTGGGGGCTTTATCAAGACCTTTTATCAAGCAAGATCAAGGCCCATTTTGTACTTGGGTTTACAATATTTAGCTTTACATTTTTCTCAGAGAATGGGCTTCAAACAGGTCTTATTCTTCCAGGTCTCTTAGGTCATGTTATCAGTTAGTACTTCATGGATCATACACGACTGCATTAATGGTTTGCCAATTCTTTTTCAAAGAGCATAAGAATTCCTCCAATAAATATACACACCACTTGGGGGCCATTGTTAATTTTGTGGTAGAGCTCTGTTGTTTCAGTATGTTGTGAAAATTCCTCTTTTGACTTGTCAAAAAAGTGAGTTCTGTAATGACCTTAACTGCACATACAGAAAAATGGCTGATATTGGAATAAGCTGTGTGCATTGTACTCTCAAAAAGCACACTGTTTAAACTAGTGCGAGCACTTTTACATTTTCATCTCAGTCAATGTAAAGTGAAGACCATGGACTGTGTACTCCAGAATGCCCAGGATAAAATGCAGACTGAGGGTAAAATGCAGACTGCAAATTCCAGACTCTTAAATTACTGCATCATGTTACCATTTCCATTATTGAATGTTAACTGTAAAACAGACTAACCCAAGCATTATTCTGGCAGGCTAACCCACAAAATATTCAGGCTAATGGGGGTGCTATTCAGGCCACCCAGACTGCAGCATTTCACTCTGATTAGCATGAATAATGGCCAGTTTAGCCTGTTTCTGGTTAGCACTTGATAATGAAAATAACACTGCATTTTACCCCCGGTCTCTAGTCTGCAGTCCATAGTCTGTCAGCAGTCTGCAGACTGTGTTTTACACTGACCGGTTGACATTTTATTAAAAATGAAACAAAATCATTAGTAACTACAACAATTCAACACATCTGATCAATGTGTGCAATAGTCATTCCTTAAGACCATCACACTTTTGTAATATTTATTCTTAATTATCACTGCTAGTTTTAGTCCCTTGAATCATGTTGAAAACAATGATAGGAAATACAGGAATCTACACTGTATGGTGCACCTCAAAGCCCGAAAAACCATCTATGGTATACCTTAAACTGTTGCTTATAAACCCCTCCATTTATAAGCCCAC